CGAAGCTGCGTATAAATGATAGTGCACCATTTCGGATCCCTTTTATCGGCATAATTCTTCGCCTGCATCACGGCGCTGAGTGTAAAGGGTGTTAGTTAGGAAAACGAGTGTTGTGATTGTCACCGTTTTTATAAAAGGTATGTCACTGATTCAGAGTGACTACAAATGCATGCGTTTGTCATAAATATTTCAACTGCTTTTAGCTCAGTCGCGTCGTCATCATATACAGGGTGCGGCCATATGGGCTAACACATTTGGCACGCCTTGCGAAATTCGAATTCAAAACGTACATACTTGAAATTGGGCATGCGAACCTAATCTCGCGAAAAGTTTTGATTTTTTTTAGAGCTAAGGCCATAGTAAAGTATTAAAAATATAGCGAAAATGGCGATCGTACATTTCCTATGCCCTGTACCGGATGTTCATCGTCTTCACACTGGTTTGTGAGATTGCTCCCAAGTAGGCATTGTTTATATATTTCGTTAGAAGTATTAATTATCGCGATTATCTTGCTCATCGCCAGCTTCTGCTATTGAGTTTCGGCGTTGTTGCGTTCAGCAAGCAACCTGGGAGTGACCTCAGAAACAAGTGTGCAGACGACAAACAGGCTGGTATAGGACACAGGAAATGCACGGTCTCCAATTTTTTTTTTTATTATTTATTACTTCACGACCTTAAAATTGAGTTCTAAAGGAACAAGTTGGAGATACAACTTTTTAAAAACTACGTCCGCGCGCCCAATTTCAGATATGTACGCTTGGAATTCGAATGTTGCAAGGCGTGCAAAATATGTTGCTCCTTACGGCCGCTCCTGGTATATTGTAAAACGTATTTTGTAAAGTATATTTTATGATATTTACGGCGACGAGATACCCATTCCATGATTTTAGGCACTGCAATTAATTTCCTTGTTCAAGAACACAATAACGATTCAGCTTTTAATCCTGCGATGCAAAGCTGTACCAATCACGGGTATTTTAGGTGGCCTACTGTACTTCGTGACTACCTTTCGATCAAGGTAAAATATATATAACTGAGGTAAACAGATGAATGCTCAGTCGTATAAACACGACGTTTCTTTATGTTAATCTAGATTTTATTTTACTGTTGTGTCAAAATAAACAACAAAATTTCTTATTTTTGGTACCTGAAAGTAAAAGTAGATTGTACGAACGATAAACAACTATACAGTTACTCGTTTCACGGCGGAAATAGTGCATATTGGAAAAAACCGCGGAAAACAAATTCTCAATTTATCGGTTCAAACCGGTTTGAACCGGTTCGAACCGGTTTGAACCGTTATATTTTACTTCCCGGAGCTGAACCGGAACTGAACCGAAAGCCGTGAACCCGAACCCGAACCGAACCGATAAAAATTTCGGTTCGACACTCTGGCACTCACTACTCATCTTCAACTCCTCAATGTACAAAACAACTCATCTTGGAGTAGAGAACAACGAGCGGAACAAACATAACTGCAAAAGAATCACACGGCGAACAGTTCCCGTACTCCGCATGTCGTGTCGTCTGCTACAAAGAGGAGAAAAAAAAAAAAAAAACGCGCGGTCGGGTGTAGCCACGTGACTTCCGCCACTCCCACTCTCTTCTCTCCACTTCTCCAACTTCCGTCGGGTTTCGGTTTCGGTTTCGAGCAGTTGCGTCTTTTGGCTTTATTAAAAAAATACGCTACTCTGTTGCAAAATATTAATTGGGTAGTCCTCCGACATCATAATGAAGCGCCTGGCAAAAAATTAAAAAAAAATTTTGGGGGGTGTCAGTGTCCCTTTAACACAGCCCCCAGTCTGCGTACACGCCGCTTCGCGGCGACAGTATGCGGCTGCTAATTACAAAACTATTGACCCAATTGACCCCGTCGTACACTCCGCTTCGCGGCGTCCAGCCGGGAAACCAAGCCCCGTTGTACCCCATGCACCTCCGTAAGCGAAGTCCCATACCATTCGTTCAGCGAAATTTCGGCGACAATATTCGTTTTTCCCGTGTTAATCGTAAAAAAAAAAAATATATATATATATATATATATATATATATATATATATATATATATATATATATATATATATATATATATATATATATATATATATATATATATATATATATATATTGCCAAATGCCTTGGCAAAATAAAATGTTTGAGGAAAAAAAATAAAAGCAAGCTCGCACTGGGCATCAAACCCGGGATCGCTTATGAGACAGTTATCTTACCACTAAGCTAAACTCCGCTTCGAAAAACTCGACTTATACGAGACTATCGGACGGCACTTGAACGTGTGAGTGGAGTGCCGTCGGACGGCACTTGAACGCCCTGCAAGAGTGCCGTCGGACGGTACTCTAGACACTACATTTGCTAAAATCTGAGTGAAGTAGCTTAAGAATGCTATCGCATTAATAAATGAAATATATTACCTGAAACCGGTCGTTCTCAAAATCGATCTCGGTTGATAAGAGGCTGCAGGCTCGGGCTGATCTTCACGCCACGCAGGTTTGGCTCGTCGAACCGTAATTTTCTTTGGTTCCGCAACTGGTCACCATTAGCAAACATGTGTCAGGGGAAGTCGTGGTTAGGGCTGCCATGGCAAGCTTGAGCAAAGTGCCAGCGCTAGCAGCATACAAGCCCTGATAACGCCTACAAGCATGCACGACGGGCAGGTGGCTTGAAGTTCAGCGGTCCGACCCCCACGAGCGTAACAAACTACGGCACAGTGAGACAAAAACCCGGCAAGATCGGCGAGCATAGAGGTGACCACAATGGCAGAAAATGCCTGGGAGAGTATGCGGTAACTACGCAGTACAGCACGCAGTAGCTGCATTGGATCGGCTTGGATTTGGTATTGTAAACGTTAGAAACCGAAGTGCAGTAGCACGCAAAAAAAAGATTAATGGAATTTTTTTTTTTATTATCAAAATATTACTATACAACAAATAATAAGTAAATTAATAGCTGAAATAATAATCCTGGTTTTTAGTTTTTTTCATTTTGAGGCTGTTTTCATAACTTTACGGATTCGAAGCCATGGCTATATTTAAATCAGAACCAAACCGAAACTATGGTTAAAATGTGGTTAGTTTCCGAATCGAAACTTCTGGCGCGATGAAGAAACGGCTATCCGGAATGCTTCCAGGCCAAGTTTAGTATAGTAAATTTTCTGAAGATAATTTTTATCAGCTCGGCTGATTCTTCTGTTATTTCAATGCTTCGTTGTTGCCTCGCTACGCCGAATACACAAGGACGAAGAAGGGGACAGGGACGAAGCGCTTCGTCTCTGTCCCCTTCTTCGTCCTTGTGTATTCGGCGCTTTCCATCCAGTTATGTACCAACTAGCCCCACTTATCTATCTTACTACTTCCCTACGAGAAAGCAGCGCAACTCTCGAACTCTTAAACGTCTCAGCCTCTCAGGCTCCCTTGCGCGCGCCTTGAATGAGCGTGCTTAGGTGGCGCAAGCTGTAGCCCGATTTGAACGGCTAGGCAAGGGCTAGGCCGCACGGATTAATCCATTTAATAATTGTCTGTTTTCTTCGGCTTTTCAACGTGGGTAAAAGACAGGCGTGCACTTCTCGTATTTCTAATATCCATCATTATTCAAAGAAAGACCTTGAAGACCAACACAAGCATCGGATGATTGGAAAGGTCAAAGGCATTACCGTTCATTTCGGAACGTTCCTACGAAGGTAAGTAAAGGCAGTTGCCGGTATAATACTCACACGCCCACACGCTGACCACGATATCACGAGACCCTTGCGGAAGAGTGTTGTTATTGCGCTGTGCCGTATTTCGTGTGAACTTTCAGGATATCTGATCCCTGCTCTTCTCTTCTACGGCCTTTTTTTTTTCTCATAGTTTGGGTTGAAGGACCTTGAATGGGATTACTTCGTGCATTGAAGACCGGTGGTCTGGGTTGCGGGGATGCGGCATTGAGGATTCCGCTACCGCGAGTAACTTGAAAAACATTTTGCAGGACGTTGGTCGGCATAATTCCTATTGAGAACGTTAAGGGTGTGCCTCACACAGACGAAAGGGGTATATACTTACACCCCTTGCCGCTTATTATACACACCAACACTTCAGTTAGACGTACAGCGCCCTGCCGTTCAACCAGCGGCACCAACTTTCACAAGCGGCCTGATAGCGAAGTTGTACAACTTATTGAAGTAGGTAATGTACAGCCTTTTTCAAAACTTCAGAGCCCACCGCGCGCGTGGCCGGAGCGGGCTCGCTCCCGTGCAGCGGCGCTCGCTGGCTGCGAGATATTTGAGAGCGAGGGGGAACTTCGCTTTCGCTGTTTTGCGCCACTTTGTTATCAAGGCGAGAGCGACGTTCCCCTCGCTCTCAAAAATCTCGCAGCTAGCGAGTGCCGACGATGATAATTATTTTTAAACGCATTGTATGCTTAATAGAATGACTCCTTGTCAGTGACTAATTAATAATGTATTTCATACAAATATGAAGGCAATCACGTTTGTAGTGTAACATAGTTTTCCCAAAAAAACGTTCGGCGGCAGCATTCGGTGAAACAACGTGTATATCAACCCTCATAGCGCGCTTTACTTCTAGGTTAAGGTTTCTATGAATATAAAAAAGCAGATCACCGCTGCAACGGTTGTAGCGTGTTAGAATGTCATTGTCAACCCCTAAATGCGGGATTGCATTTAATTGACCTAACTTCGACAAGTACGTTTTAGTCATCAAGGATAGTGTAGCATGTTGCACATGTTTTTTTTTTTTTTCAGATGCCTGGGATACGGTTCTTTCAATGCCACAAGTGCCAGAAGAGAGCATTCACACTAAGGTCATTGTTTCGACATTTTCATGCAAAGCATGGGCATGAACAAAACTGGATTTGTGGGATTCAGGGGTGCTTAAGGACATATGCATCCTATGGAGCTTACCGTAAGCATGTCTCCAGAAAACATTCGGAAACTCTTGATGAGGTCCACTCAGTGCCCGGCGCAAAGAGAAGTGAGGAGACCATACGTGACATGCCAAGCAGTGATGAAGATCAACCGGACAGCCACGCAGATGTGCCATTTGTAATCAACGCTGACGGTGTAGGCGTTGTGCAAAGCAATACATGCAACCCTTCAGGTGAACCTCAAGGCTTATTCAAGCAGTTTGCTTTGTTACTGCTCAAGTGGAAGGAGGGAAAGCGACTTCCAAGTGCAACACTTCAAGAGATTTCTTCTGATGTTGTCTTGTACATACAGTCATTCGCTGAACATTTCCTTGCACCTTCAGCTTCAGGTAATGACCAAGAGAAGCTGAAGTTGTTTCTTGAGCGTGACCTACAAAAGCTTGTAAATGAAAGGGAACGCGAAAAATACTGGAAAAGTTGTTTGTCATTCGTCCAGCCGGAGAACGTTTGTCTTGGCAGAGACATGGGTGGAAAGGTAGAGGCCTTCACCTATGTTCCCGTCTTAAAGGTCCTAGAACATTCACTCAACAAGTTGTCTGTTGATCTTAGCTCCAGGCGTTCCGCAAGGTCAGGAGAGTTCCTTGTTGATGTTTTTGACGGCACAGCCTTTCAGGAGCATGCCTATTTTCAAGGAGATGCGAAAAAGATTTGCATTCAACTTCACACTGATGAGTTCGAGGTCTGTGATCCTCTTGGGAGCAAACGTGGGAGACATAAGATGATGGCAGTGTATTATACAGTTCTGAATGCTCCGGTCGACACACGTTCAAAACTTTCATCAATTCACTTAGCAGTGCTTGCAAAAGAAAAGCTTGTGATAAAATATGGTTTAAAGAAGGTGCTTGAACCCCTAGTTAATGACATCGCTCGCCTTGAAACGGTTGGCATTGTTGTCAATGGAGAAGTTTTAAATGGGTCTGTGTTCTTTGTTACTGGAGATAATCTCTCTCTGCACCGTCTTGGAGGGTTCAAATGCAGCTTTAGCCAAGGCAGGATATGCCGACACTGTATGGCATTACGCCAGGAAATCTCAAGAAAGCACCGACCTTCTGACTTCGCAGAAAGAACCCCCACAGTGCACGACCACCACCTTAGCTTGCTCACCTGTGGAGTTAGCTCCTTGTCACTCTATGGTGTACGCAGTGAATGTGCCGTGGCATTTTCTGGTTTTCACCCTACACAACACCTTCCTCCAGACATTATGCACGACTTGCATGAAGGCGTCATCCCGTTCTTGTTGAAACAAGTAATTTCTTCCCTTGTAAAAGATGGTGTTTTTTCATTAGAAGTTTTAAATGCTGCCATTGTCAGGTACCCTTACAGCGAGAATGACAAACGGAACAAGCCAGAAGCTGTGTCAATGGCTATGTTACAAAAAACAAAGACAATCAAAGGAAACGCCTCACAGCTGTTTTGTTTATTCCGATACCTGTCATTTTATGTGGGTGAGTGTGTTCCAAGAGAGCAAAAGGTATGGGGGCTGTACCTTTTGTTAAGAAAAATCGTTTACGTCATTATGAGTAGACGAGTAACAGTAGAGCACATTGCATATCTTGAACGCCTAATTTTGTGCTTTTGCGTTGATTTCAGGGAGACATTTCCAAGTGTTGCTGTCCCTTGCAAATTACATTTCATGATCCACTATCCTAAATATAGGCAGATGTACGGACCGCTTGTTAGGCTTTGGGCGATGCGATACGAATGGAAACACCAGTACTTTAAGGAACTGTCTCGAAAGCTAAGAAACTTTAAAAATATCACGTCAACTCTTGCAACCCGCCACCAAGGGCACGAGATGTATTTGCAATCTTGCGAAGACAGCAGCACAACCATGAGCACAACGGGATGCAAGCCTGTCCTGTTTGAGCATTTGCCTTCTGACGTGAAGCACCACATCTCTGAAAATAACATAAGCCGTGAGAACATCTTTTCTCTCATGTTAGTTTCTCTCGACGGCACTGAGTACGCGGTCGGCAGCATTATTGTGACCGACATCTCTTCTGAACAACCCACTTTTGTTCTGGTCTGTAACATCTTTTCAGTGAGCAGGTGCATTCTGACTTTTGTTCAAAAGCTTGAAACCGTAAAATTTGATCAGCATTTTCATGCATATATAGTAAGAAGGTGTCCAGAAAGTTTACTTTTGAGAGACATCACGAATTATCAGGCAGATGCGCTTACCATTCATACGATAGGGAACAAATGTTTTGTGTCTGCACGACACGCTTTAATTTAGGCCTGACCTCAAATGTGTTATTTGCTTCACGTGTGGCTTCTACAATATATTTGTGTTGTATTCAACATTTAGTTCGAATAAAGTGCTGAATATGTTTATTTCTGAAATGATGTTTTATTTATGTAAGAAAGAAGAGTACACTTCGATCGAATGTCAGTTTGAAGCTATAGCTACACGCACATGTGATTATTCATAAATCTATGGCGATCACGGCAAGACTTTGTTGAAGGAAGGAGATGCTTCTGTGACCAGCTTGGTTTATCAACACCAAGCTTATTTGTGACCTCAAATGAACGTAAAAGACGAAGCATGTTCCTGAAGGAAAAAAGCTGAACGTGTTGCAAAGTGTCGCTTAGAAAAGCAGCTTATAAAATCAAATAAATGAGTCATAGTGTGGCGTGATTCAGCAGGTTACAGGGCTCTGTTTTATTAGAAAAAATCAACGTGACATTTCCGCAGTGAATATGTATGCACAATTTTATGCACCATATCAATTTGAATTTGCATTATTTTTTTAACAGAGAAGCTATGTCTCGCCCCATAAGTCTACGGATAATAGAACAAATTTTAATGTTTGTCATCCTCACAAGCTCCATGTTCGTACAACGCGGCACATAGGCAACATTGGCGTTAAAGGTTTCAACTACATACAGCTCTGTCACACATGCATGTGCACTGTTTTTAAAAATCAAATACAAACACCCTTACACCTTCGAAGCATCATGGGATGTACTTTTACCATGTATACCCTATTTACACCCTTCTAACACCCTTCGTACACCCTTTCATAGTTAGGGGTGCAAAACGGGTGTTTCAGTTGTGTGGAACGCCCCTCTAACTAGGGATGTCGCGAACCACCCTAGGTTCGATTTCGAAAGGTTTCGATATTTGCGAAGCGACCTGAGGTTCGATTTCGAAAAATTTCGATATTTTCGTACCGACCGAGGTTCGATTTCGAAAAATTCGCAACTTTTGTCCACGGCGGAGTTTCGAATTCGAAAATTTCGAAGCTTTCAAGGTTTCTAAAAATTCGAATTCGAATATTTCGAATATTTTTTTACTTCAGGTTCGATAAATTCGAAGATTTCGAAATTCTTTGTAAAAAAAATTCGAAAACTTCGAACGCTTCGAATTTTTATAAACATGAAGTTCGAACAATTCGAAGATTTCGAATTTCTTTTGGCATAAACTTCGAAAAGTTCGAAAGTTTCGATTCTCTTTTAACGCTAAATTTAAAAAAAAAAAAAAAAAAAAAAACTTCGAAGATTTTGAATTTTTTTCTAATCCAAGTTTTCAAAGTTTGAAGTCCGATTTTCAAGTTTTTCTACAGTTTCAGTTTCAAATAACGTTTTCACGACTCACTTGTTTTCACAAAATCAAGTTGAGAAAAGTTAGGTTGTGATATCTAGATTCTACGAAGTTGGTCAGGCAATTAAATGAGACGACGAGTGTCCCGGACGTGCTAGAATATTTGCCAGTGCAGAATTGTGACTGCCAGTCCCCCGGGGGGGGGGGGGGGGGGGGGGGAGGGGGGGGGGTTCTTTATCACGCAGTAGTGATTGCACGAACACACTGTTTTACGAGACTCATCCAGTTCGAAACGGCCAGGGGCGAGCAGGAGGTTGAGGCTCAGAAAAACCTTGAAGCGACCTGGCAAACTAGCTCGCCACCCCTTGCACGCTGGTAGTAATCCGATCCGGTGAAGTTTATAATTGTCCTGGAGGTTTATTTTCTGGGACGGAGTAATCGCCTCGCAAAAAGCACAAAAGTCGACACAACTCGAGGTCGAGGAGCGTTCTACCATACAAGTGGCGTCGGAAGAGGAAAAACGGGGGGAAAGAGGGTAGCGGGGGGGCTTCAGCCTCCTTCTCCCCCTTGCAGGTATTTCGGACTGTTAAAGAAAACAATACGGGGAAAGAGGGCGTGGTCGAGCTTATTTTAATCTGAAATTATTTATTCATATGTATAGCTACTGTCGCTCTTCACTGCATAAAAGGTTGCGTAGATGGTCACTGTTAGAAACTCGTTGTCAGAAGGCACTGCTCGTCACATGCTTAGTGGTTCGGAAGTTCAAAGCTGTCTTTTCGACCTAAACACCTGTGCCGATAGTAACAAAAGAAAAAAAAAAAAGAATAAATGCGGGAATAAAAAGTAGGAGAAAAAAGAAACTATCAAGAATTCGCCGGAAGTGTTCTATTCTTGCATATTCAGAGGTTCAAAACTTCGAAACAAGTTTCTCCTACCAAAATGTGTACTGGCTAAAAGAAACACGTCCCAGGAACGCGAAAAAAAAAAAAAAAAAAAGTTTTCTTTTAATGACGTGCTGAACTTGAACAATATTAGATATCTTTTCCCATGAGTTGATTTATTCCTTAACGTGAAAAAACAATAAATATATTATTTTGTATTCTGCAGATGGCAATGATATGTAGTGTCTGTGGTGCTAATTTAAATGCGATACCTCAAACAACTTAGACGAAAATAAATATCAAGTTTAGGTCATAATTGCATGCAGATACATGTTTGGACATTTCTTCGAAACTCACGTTGAATAACAATAATCACATCTTAAGACGGCACTTACCTAGGCTATACATAGATCATTCTTAAAAAAGTATAACATATCTACGATAAATACCTCCGGCTGCAGCGTGCTTCAAATCTGGCACAAACGATAATCGTCAAAAACCCGTCGTCCGTCCTCGCTTCTTCGGGGATTTATTTCTTTAAACCTAAGCATGCCAGAACATTGAAATAAATGACATTGTCTTTCGTAAGGAACGCAGCACCGCGTGTAAAAGTTCGAGAAAAAAAAATTAGGAATGTACCCCACTACTTGAAATCAAATGAAACCGTCCGCCGGTCTTTCGAAGTTCGACGAACGTCGAACTTTTACCCTAAGAGTTCGAAGTTCGTCGAACTTCTGACTTTTCAGAATTCGAAAGTTCGAAACTTTTCGAATTTTCGTGATAAATAAGTTCGAAAGTTCGAAATTCATCGAATTTTTTGGTCAGTCAAGTTCGAAAGTTCGACAAGTATCGAACCTTGCAGCGCAATAAGTTCGAAAGTTCGAAAAAGATCGAATTTTTTAGCGTAATAAGTTCGACGGTTCGAAAAGCGTCGAACTTCTTAGCTTAACAAGTTCGAAAATTCGACCTCCGTCGAATTTTACGATATAGACAATTCGAAAAATCGAAATCTTTCGAACCTTTCGAACCGCTTGATTCGATCATCGAAACTTCGATTCGAAAAAAGTTCGCGGCATCCCTACCTCTAACACACTTCATGTCGAAAATAAGGGTGTTAGAAGGGTGTCTTGGGTACCATTAGCCCCTTAAAGGTGTAAAAAAGTTTACTGTGTAGTCTCCTGGCAGTGCAAAAAGCGCAACATAGCACCCCCGGCGTCCTCGCTAAGCCTTATTGAGCTCGATCTGTTCGATTCGTGGCCGCAACAATGAGATGCAGACGACAAAGGAATCTTGCGCCCCTGCTTTTAAAGATGAAAATTTCTCCCAAGGATCATAGCTTGAAAGCGAGTGCCTGCACTTGCGCACACGCACGTAACTACGCACAAATGGACCAACTACGTGCGCACTCGCATTTATGCACACGCACATAACAAGTACAGAGGCGTGTTCAGTCAGACAAAGTCGCGTACACACTCACACACACAATAACGTGCACACAGAGAAGCCGACAAGCAAATATACGAACTCGCACATGCATATCCGCAGAAAAAAAAACACAGGTGGGCACAGACGTACGCATGCAGATAAACACAAGTATACACGAGCCAAAGTACGTCGTGGCGCACGAAAACAGCAGCAGGTTATCCCACAGCTGGTATTCCAGTCGGGATTTCTATAGACATGACAGTTTAAAGCAGTAGGCGAAACCTGCACCGCATGAAGTCACCGTGCCGTCGTGGTGGCACTGCAGTATTAAAAAAAAAAAAAGCTCCAATGCTTTTTTTGTTTGTTTGTTTATTATTTTTTTAGCTACTTAAGCTAAACCTACTTTTTAGAACACCCAAATTTTATACTCTTTCCGGCATGCTATTGATCGTCTCTAAATTCAAAATAGCTATTTGAGAAAACGGCAAATCAAGGCGTTGCAAGACCAACATTCAAATTTTCCAGCACTCTCGAATGCGGTGACGTCTCATATTGTATAGCTTGCAAGTGGTTCCAGGCAGTCTAAAGAAACACGCCATTCAGCCCATGTTTCGTATTCGTTTCAGACCATCAAACGTCTTGTAAACCACATCTGGAATATGCAGTAATGCCCCCCTATTTCCCGAAAAAAGGAGAAGAGGTGTTGAAGTGATCGAATGGAAGCTACATTGGCTCTGCGAACAAGGACCAATACCTGCGGAAATTTTTACTTAGAGACACTGAGTAACGTTTGCATCGCGTGCCCAAAGCCACCAGGAGCACGCGGATACCGATTTCTTGGTCGTAAGCGCACAATTTTTATTTTCTGGTCACTTCAAGTTTTGAAGCGGGGGTGCCCCGCTAACCCTAAGCCATAGGCCCGGGCCCTGACTACGGCGGCCACATCGCTCGTGATGGAGTCCGCAGCGGCCTGCTCAAGCGTTGATCGAAACCACCAGCCGCATACCGCCAACGCTGAAGAGGAAGAAAATGACATGCGCATGTTGCAAGACCCTCCAAGTACCACCGGCGACGACGAACACGACATGGCACCCTGGATTAAAGTCACCAGCCGGGCTATTCGCCGCAAGACGCGAGCCAGCCTTGCCACGCAAACTCTCAACCTATCGCCGCCAAAGCCGGCTCTTCGACCCAGCCGCCCGGTGCTCAAGCCAAAACCTCCACCGCTTCCTGCTGACGACTTTAAATTGGCGATCCGGCCTCGCAATGGTCTCGTGCTGAGCAAGGTGAGCCCGATAGTACTTTCAAACAGCATTATGCGAGAAGCTTAGCTACGTCCTCAAGAGGCAGACATCAAAATACGCGTCAATGAACAACAGAACATTC